TTCATTTTATTCTTTTTTTTATCATATAGTCACAAAACCATTATTGTTTTATGTTTTACAGTTAATAATGCAGTTGATAAGTAAGACACTATTATTGAAAAAAGTCTGTTTTGAGAGAAAGTTTTTTGATGTATATAATGGAAGACTAATTAAATTTTTTTTCATTTTGTGAAAGGGTATATGAAAACCAAACTAAAGTTGTTAATAATAAAATCAGTTTATTCTCTTATAAGTTCACATGAAGAATCAGGCCATTTGAGATGAATAAATGAAAACCCAACAGGATTTGTTTGTGTGTCATAATGAGAAGTAAAATAGCGTTGAATTGTATTATATCCAATTGCATAATAACCACAATTATGCTTTATTGAGTCATCTACTTCCTCATAAAAGGCTTGTTCCATTAAGGAATCTGTAACTCCATTCATTTGGAAATGAATAGTAGTTTTATCATTAACAGCTTTCATATCAATCGACATTAATCCTTCAAGGTTTCTGCTAGTCCTATTAGTAATATAATAAGTAAAAGTATTATATGTATTTTCATTTATACCTTCAGGATATTCATACATATACTTCAAATAATTTGTTTTATTTAAATGTAATGGACTAGTATCATTCCAATGAAGGAATGAATGAATGTTACCACATCTCTCAAAGTCATCATTTGCATTTAGTACATTACCTGATGATTGAATATCATCAACATAATATTCTAAACTATGCCCTGTCGTAGCACCTTCATCTCGGACAAATAACGCACCTTTATCATTTGTTCTTGGGATAGGATAATTGTCATCCCATCCAACAACAACAACACTCTTTAACTTACCAGTTGAATAAAGGATATTAGAATCATGATAATATCCATCAAACGTTCGAATTGGAGTGTCTTGGTAATAACACTTTTGGGTAACATTGTAAGCACATTGAATAGGATGGTCATTATCTTTTCTTAGAGAAGAAGAAATGATAGTACGATCAACAAAGTCATCAAACGTCAATAATACTGGTTGATGATAAATGGTCATAAATCTCTTTGCTTCACTTACAAGTAGAGTAGCATTTATTCCCATTCTGCCAGATACTTCTACTCCAGTTAGTGTTTTATTTTGGTGAAGAAATTTAAGAAATAGTTTATGAGATTCAATAACATCAGGAGGACATTCCGAAGAACTTTCACAAAGCATATATTGTATTAATGGACCAATACTACTTGTAGGTTCTCGAAGATATTCTTTGCATTGATTTGTATTATTTCTTTCAGGAGAAGTACAATATTTTTCTACTTGTTTCATAAATGAGTGGCAATCAAATGAATAATCATTTCCATTAAGGAATGTTTTATCATTATCTTTATAATAATACTTTCCTTTTAAATGCATAAAATGTAATAAACTCATTGACATAAAAGCTAGTGGTGCTTCAAAAGAAGAAGGGCAATATGGGAAAGAATTTGATTGATAAGGGATTGACTCTTGAATTGTTGGTAAGACATAAATAGATGGATATCTTATAAATACAGTTTCATACTCTGATAATTTTTGAACTTGATCTTTTAATATGAAGTAAGAAGTCATAGACACTGCAAATATTCCAATTTCAATTACAATAAGAATAATCCATAGTATAACTAAAGGAATCTTTGAAGATTCAAATAAATCCATTAAAATAACACAAATTGGTTTTTTAAAGTTCCATTTTTTATTATTATAATGTTATTAATAACACATCAATTTAAGAAAAAAATTTTTTTAAAATAAAACATTAATAAACCTAAAAAAAGATCAAGTAATAAAAATATCTTCAATAATAATTGAATAGTAAAGCATAAACCTTTATCTTTAAAATATTCTGAAAGTATAACAAAGGTCTTTACTAAGAGATTTTGTTGTAATACAAATAAAAAGAAAATTGTAACGAATTTTTCAAGATTCAATTTTCATAAGTGTTTTTAAATAAGAAGAATAGAGTTAAAAAAATCTAATGAATTTTCCATATTTTTAATAAGAATAATTTTCAATGATTCTTTTTTTTTTAATATTAAAAAGTAGTTTTTGAATAAAAAACTCCATTAATTCAATATGCGTAGTCGTTTGACAAGAACAACATTTTCAGTTCCAAAAATTACTGGGACTACGTCTTTACTAATGAAAAACATTCCTGTTATTCGAGTAATTGTAGAAAATGAAGGAAAAACATTTACACCAATAAACACACCACAACAAATAATAAATTTTTATTATGATCCAAAGAAAACAACAGAAAAATATTATTTTTGTTTAAACCATCAACCATATTATTTTGACAGATGTTCAGAACCTTTGTTTGTTTAATTTCTATTGAATATATAAGGAAATATACATTATGAATATCTAACCATTTAGCTTTGAATCTAAATTTTGTATATATTGTAGTTCATATGGATATTGGCCAACATTCACATTAGTTAAGGTTGAACAATGTAGTAATTATAAACCAATTAATATTTTTCTTAATTTTCTTGAATCAAATAAAATAACATTTGATTGTATTGGAAATGAATTTCTTTTAGTATTAAAAGCAAACACAGATGAATGTCGTGATTTTAGAGCAACATTAGCACGTATTCTTCAAGAAAAAATAGTTCTATTTGAAAATGATGTTATTGATAAATTTGGTGGTGACGTTCAATCACAACAAGACGCAAAAAAGATTTATGAAGAAAATGAATATGTTTATGTTGAGTCTGAACCACCTATTCCAACAAGTTGTATAGAACTAAAAATTAATGGAAGATATGGAGTTGACATGTCAATGAAAACTATTGTTCAAAAACCTACAGATACAATTGCAAAAGTTATTAATAATTTATTTACGAAGTTATATACTATGAAACCAAAAATATTCGATAAAAATTCGAAACCATCAGATTTTGTATTGAAAGTTAGAGGTTCAAATGAGTTTTTAATACCATAGTTTGTTTTATAAAATAAATAAATAAATAATAAATAAATAATTTACTATATAGTAATAATGATAAAATAGAATATATTCTTAGTGATTTTGATTATATTAGAAAATGTGTTAGACTAAATCAAAATATTGATGTAGTATTGTTCAATAGAAAAAATATGTATCAGTATATGTTTGATAAAGAAAAAATGTTATTTGTAAAACAATTTAATACTTTTGTGGGAAATGATTATTGGAATAAATTACAAAAAAATACAAATGACTTATCTCAACGTGTTGCTCAAATTCAATTTTCTATTCAAATTATTTCAATTGAAAATATTAAATATTTAAAAACTATTAAAAAAGAAGATAAAAAAGAAACTATTTCAATTACTTCATTTAGAGCATATTTTGTATTATCTTTACATTACGGTATTCGTTGTTTAGAAAAAGAAAAATTTACTAATGTTTTTCAAGTCAGCGAAGGAAAATTAATATTAAAAGAACCATTTAATGTTAGTTTTGAAACGTTATTATCTTCTCTTCCTAAAGAAACAAAAATGACAATTTCATTATATATGACTGAGTTACCTGTCGGTATTAGTATTAATGAAATTAATAAAAAAGACATTTGTTTAGCAACTATTAATTGTAAATTAGTTGATCACCATAAATATTTTATGAAAGGATTATTTAAA